AATTGTTATTTAATATGACTGAAGGTCTGTGGGCGTGTTGCAGCCGGCCCCTCGCAATATTCAGAATGACACAAGTGCAATATTCTAATTCTAGTTTCATTATCATTTCGGTGTAATATACTTTATGCAGGAATATCTTAAACTTTGCTCAGTTATTGGTATTTGACCATGTTTCATCCTGCAGCAATTGATATCCGCTACACTATATCTTTCAGGTATCAAGAGACGAGTTATACGTATTTTGATGTTTTTGGAATGCTCAGCTTTTTCTCCTACTTTGTGAGCACGCTCTGGAAACACAATTTCAATCATTTTGATTTCATTAGCATCTTATATTTCCCCTTCTCGTTATTCTCTCTTTTGTGATGAAGTGATACGCAGTAAACAGATAAGTGGCACATGAGACCGTTAATTACAAAGGGAGTAGGTGAAAATATCGAACGATAGAGTCACATTTCACTGTAGTGGCAGGACTAAGGGGGGGAGGGGTCCTGCCCTCGGCCATTCAGGACTCCTGAGTGTCTGCTGTTTGCTGGGGAAAAAATGCGACCTGTCATGGAAAACATTCTGCAAGAGAGGGAGGATAGAGATGGGCTGAACTAGACGTAATCGAAAGGGGTGGCAGAGGAAAGGAATAGAAGATTTTTGAGAAAAGGACAAATGCGCGCGCGCGCACGCACGCACACACACACACACACACACACACACACACACACACACACACACACACACACACACACACACACACACACAGGGTCTCGTGGCTGAGTAGACATCTCTCATGGATCGTAGTCTTGAGGATCTGGGTTCGATTCCCGAGCGAGGGAGAAACAAATGGGCAGTTTCTTTCACCTGATAGGCCTGTTCATCTAACAGTAAATAAGTACCTGGGAGTAAGCTGCCACAGGTATGATAGGTCGGTATCATACCTATCATAAAATTGGTCGGTAATCGTTACATTACACAACCAATGGTTGGTTGGAAAGGTTGGGTCCCAAGAGCCTTCAGCTCGATCCCGCAGGCAAAAATAGTAAATTCAAAATGTAAATACACACACTGCGAACTAGGCTTTGAGTGTGATGTCAGTAACATCAAAATCAGGAAGGAGTGAAGTCAAAAGGAACTTTAAAAAAGAGTGAGAGCAGGTTCGGACCGAACACGCAGAGAGAGAGCTTAGTGGTAAATCACCACCTGAAATACTGGATTGAATTGCTGAAAACATAGAGGAGAAAATAAATATATATACCTGTTCTAATGAACACTTGGCCTGAAAGCATAGCGAAAGAGCAATAGTAATTTTGAAGGTTATATAGTGAGCCGAACGGAGAAGGAGTATGTGAGAGATTAAGAAAAGAGACGGAGAAGCAATAATCACATTATATCCAATACAAAGGACCAATTAGAACATGCATAAGCCACATAATTAAGAAGTTTACTGTAAACAAAGAGGTAATCAGAAAAGAGGCGGGTGTTACACAGATAGTCACTAAGAAAGATGTTAAGTACTAGACGAAAGAATGCAGGAAAATATTCTTAAGGGAGCCAAATCTCCCAGTCGAGCTCGTGAAACGGAGTTTACTCATTAAAAGAAATTGACGGGACGACTAAAGAGATGAGGAGACAGAGGAGCAGGAGAGGACGAAGTCCATGGAACCAGACGAAAGCTCATCACACATACTGAAAGTGGCAGCATGGGGTCTTGATCTCCACCCGTCCCTACCCTTCACAATGCTCATAGCTACACTACCAGAGACAGGAAAGACAATTACTGTCTTCCCTATATACAAGAAAGGTTGGAGACAAGACTGTGGTTGTCGTATTGATCTGCCGATGCATAGTCGCTGGAACACCGGTCTTCGGTGGAAATAGGGGGCGGCAATTTTTGTGAAACAAACTCCTTTTAAATTGGACAAATTTTTTGTGTCTGATAATGTTCCATTCCTTTGTATGAACCCCATTCCATTTTGCGAGTCCCTCCTTCCGAATTCTCATTCAGGAGAATCATTTTATTTATAATAATCTGTTATAATCACAGATGTATCACCGCTGTGCCAAATATACCCTAACCAACCCCCCCCCCCATTCCCATGAAACCATCTATACCACCCAACCCCTTCTCTTGGGTCCCATATCATCCGAGCAGTCAGGCTGCAATTTACACCAATGGCGAATTGTTATAAATCCACAAATCCAATTTAAACAAATTTCAAATGGCCAGATGCAACTATGAAATTGTCAGAGTACAATGAACTCTGTGTATCAGGGAACATCACTGCTGCTTCCATGCACAAGGTCCAGCAGATCTATGTGCCCTATAAAAATAATATTCTGAAGCTCAATATATATATATATATATATATATATATATATATATATATATATATATATATATATATATATATATATATATATATATATATATATATATATATATATATATATATATATATACCTTCATGTTCGATTTTTCCTGCTTTATTTTCACTCGACAATTAAAAATAACGTTTACCAATGTTATTAATGAGAAGCAACGATCGGTGCAGTGCTACTGTTTTGAGTCGCAACGTCGCAGTATACAATACTTGTACCAGTCGTGTTTACACCTGTACGAGTTACCTAACAATACTCACCCACTGACACAGCCAAACAAGTCACCCACCTACAAATACAGGCAAACAAATCACCCACCCACAAACACAACTCTTCCCAGCAAACAATATACCCACCGAAACCCATTCCACATCTCAGAATATGCCAATATAATACAATTTATGTGCACAGCAATATATGAGATGGAGGAGAGAGGGCCGGGGAAGAGGGGGGAGGTGAGTCAGGTATGAGTATTTTTACAGATTTTTAATATTTCTGTATTGTTAGTAAGGCCTGGGCACGCGACCATAAATATATCGATAGTTCCAATCACTTTTGGTTATTATAAATAATATAGTCTTGGCAGTGTAGTGATAATTTTGTCCCAGATCATGCAGCAGCGACAAAGCAAGAAAGCAGAGTTAATACAAATTTTCAGCGTTCATATTGTATGTACAATATAAATGAGCGGGAAACAGGAGAGGAAATGAGGTTTGAATCACGCCAAGATTCAAGTTCTGAATGAGGAAAATTAGGATCAGTGGATTCTGATCTTATCACGCAACTCAAATTTTCCGTCACACAGGAAACACCTATATATGTCCTTATTTTGCGACACACATAAGAAGTGGAAGCTACAGTGGAAGGTGTTACATTTAACAAGATTTTGTAAATACATTAGATTCTGAGCATCATTTTGTTAAATATGTTTAGTCTTCAGTTCTAACATGACATTGAGCCACTAGTTGAGTTGCTATAGACCTCAGACAGTTTGACAGCATGAGGATGACATAGTTATTAGGTGAGTGTGAGCTATGAGTCTTGTTCGTGTGATGTGAGGTGATTATTAGGAGAAAACGCTAACTCAGTATGACTGTTAGAAAGCTTGAGGGTTCTTAGCCTTTTACAAAAAACTTTATTTTATTTTTCTAGTCATTTTTATCCTCTTATTTTATAACTGGAACTTGGGAGAAATTCAGTACGACGAAGGCTTTAATTTCTATGCTCGAAAACTGCATTATTTTTACTTATGAATCGGGATATCGTGTCTTATCTGATTCTGAGAGGTCAGCTGGAAAGAACTAGGAGCTTACTTTTAAATTGACAGTGATTTGAAACTTTCCATTGGAAGCTTGGTTCGCTCTCTCCCAGTTTCATCTGGCTGCAAGAGACGAAGGGATTTGAATTTAGTTGGAAGGCCGCCCTCGGGGTTTAGCTGAATTAATTTTCAACGCAGATTAGTTATACAGTGGTAATGCAAATTGTGTACGTGGCTAAATTTCCAACCAGACGTTGTATTTCATCAAAATAATTGACAATGTAATTTTACAAAATATGGATAGCAACGATTACACTGAATTATAAATTAATATATAACCGTATATTAATGCATGGACCAAAGCCTTCATGATGTAATATTCGACGTTATTTCGATATGCTTATTTAATCCAATCACCATATAAGTAACACTGATTAATTACAAATCTGGTAATTAATGACGTTAATAATGCTGAGTTAATAGCAAAATAAATAATTTTATTATAATTGGTGGTATTTCATTGGCGATGGAATTGTTTTACACATTATTCTAATTACAACTGTTTTACCTTAACGATGTGTTCATTTATAATGTTTGCCTCAAAAGATTGATTAATACTGGTTTACTTTTGCGATTTTCTAACTGATTCCGTTTAACATTATTTGTTTCAACACTGACTTCCTGTAATGATGTTTAGTTAAATATATCCCCCAAAGCAAGCACATGAAATGAAAGAGATGAAGTTTCGGTCCGCTGTTACGCTGGAACTTGAGTTTTAATTAACACTGTATACTTATTCTTTGACCTTATACAATTTTTAATTCTGGTCTTAACAAATGGTTCTAAACAGTTCTAACGAAAGGACACAAATTTCTTTTATATTTTTTTTAATTTGTAGTATAATTAGTTGCATCTTATTTTATATTTTCTAAATATTTAACGTTGTAGAGCTGTTGTATAATCTTACGTTAATTTATTCTGTTTTATGTTGGTGTTGCGCTATTGTTTTATATTGTATTGAAGTGATATACATCTTAGTGAGATGCTGTTTAGAATTAATTTACTGTATTGCAGTGACGTGATGCACTTTACTGCTCTACCGTAGTGATATAATGCATTGTAGTGAATTTACTGAATAAATACAGTTTATATAAATATAAACTTATTCATATTAATAGTAAAGACTGAGGATGAAACATTCAGGGTTAATATTTGACAAATTAACGTAGAACTAAACGAAGTGTTATACTCGTTCAAAAGAGCAACTCCTCTTGTCTTGAGCGATCGACTAGTTTTAACTCTCAGCTTCTCTCGTCATCCTCATCTTTTGTCATCAGGGATATTTATCTCAGAAAGTAATTCGGTAAGCAGGATGAGCCTTTGGGAAGAGCTCCAGGTGTGGCCGGTGTCACATTTGACGCTCCCGAGGACACGGAGGCGCTCCAGAGGACACGGAGGCGCTCCAGAGGACACGGAGGCGCTCCAGAGGACACGGAGGCGCTCCAGAGGACACGGAGGCGCTCCAGAGGACACGGAGGCGCGCCAGAGGACACGGAGGCGCTCCAGAGGACACGGAGGCGCTCCAGAGGACACGGAGGCGCTCCAGAGGACACGGAAGCGCGCCAGAGGACACGGAGGCGCGCCAGAGGACACGGAGGCGCGCCAGAGGACACGGAGGCGCGCCAGAGGACACGGAGGCGCGCCAGAGGACACGGAGGCGCGCCAGAGGACACGGAGGCGCTCCAGAGGACACGGAGGTGCTCCAGAGGACACGGAGGTGCTCCAGAGGACACGGAGGCGCGCCAGAGGACACGGAGGTGCTCCAGAGGACACGGAGGCGCGCCAGAGGACACGGAGGCGCGCCAGAGAACACGGAGGCGCGCCAGAGGACACGGAGGCGCGCCAGAGGACACGGAGGCGCGCCAGAGGACACGGAGGCGCGCCAGAGGACACGGAGGCGCGCCAGAGGACACGGAAGCGCTCCAGAGAACACGGAGGTGATAATACTCCTTGAAGCCCGCCAAGCACTTCCCGACATGACATGCTCTCCCTCCGTATATACACCTACAGCTCGGGTGAGAACTATAATCTTATCTTCAGCCACGTCATTGTGATTCATCGTCTGCTTATGTACTTGAAACTAACTTAATAAACACTTGTTGACGACTATACCTGCGATCATGTACTCATTATATTATTAATCACACTCTCTTTACTCCTTCCACTATTTTCTTAAGAGAATATTTTTTGATATGGAAGACAGCATAACTTATATTTAACTCACTCTCTTTACTGCGATCTGTTAGTTGCTGTTTTACAGGGTCCTCCTTCCCGGTCACAATTCTTCGCTATTCACGAAGCGAAGATATATTATATATCTGATATATTATATATCAGATATTTTATAGTAGAATCGTAAGTGTGTCCCGACTATTCAGTGCAAACGAGACGTCTTGAAGAAGTATTATTTACGGCAATCTTCACAAAGTTAATAGCATTCATAAAAGCCAATTCAATGACTCAGTGTCATTGATATTGCCAGACGGGAAGTTTGGAGATTTTATGTATCTTCCATAATCAATAAAGCAACGTTGTTTTGGATTTAAAATATTGTGTATAAAACTGGGTATTTTTCAGGTAAATATAATCCGCACATATCCTCTATGTTCATTACATATGGATTGGTCATTAATGATTCAAAAACAACGGCAAACGAGGTGTCATTGATGATGTTTGATGATGCAGTAAAGTGCATCACGGCACTGCAATACAGTAAATTAATTATAAACAGCATCTCACTAAGATGTATATCACTTCAATACAATATAAAACAATTCTCCATTATTAGAATGATTTTTAGAATCTTTTTCATTAGAATTTTATGATAAAAAAAATACTTTTTGGAGAGTTACAACATTCTGGGTTACGTTTAATCTCGGAAGATTCCGTTTCTACCAAGTACAAATCTGTTTAACCCTGTCCATGGAGTACAAAAGAAAATGTATATGTGGTGATTAGCATTTTAAATATGTGACCACCACATATGTGATAGAAAATAAACGAAATACAAATCCTCTATGTAGAAACAAGTGATCCTGCTTAACACCTGGGTATAACTTTTACATTAAATTTGTTATCAATTAAGTTTTGTAAAAATTTCCCATCACTGTCCCAAAGACTCCATCGTGGAATGTATCGTAAACAAAATATACCAAAACTCTGATTCATAATTAAAAAAAAATTGTAATTATGAATCTAATTCTTTTACTACTAAAAACTGTAACTTATTTTTAGTTACTTTTAATACAATATTAAAATTTACAATCCAACGTAATATTTACAGTTGACTAATCCACGGATGGGATGCCATTTTCAGTTATTTTCCTTTATAATAATTTCACGTTCCTGAGATAATAATTTTTTATAGCAGACACGTGTAGTTGTGCATGTTTCGAGAAAATTTATTTTAATGCAGTTTTTCTTATTCCATTTTTTTATAAAGTTTCTTTGAAAATTTTATAGATACAAGAGCCCAACACTATATATAAATTTTTCTGGAATACTTAAATTAGGTGGATTTTAGAAGACAATTTCACTAAAAAATTGTTTTGTGACTTACAATACAAGAAGCTTTCTTTTCATAATAAAAAAAAACGCACAAAAACTTAAGCCAGTGATTGAGTAGGTCTTGAGAATATAAATTAGAAGTTCCCTTTACTATAGTTATTTTGGAACTAAATTCCATAAGTGACAGCAATGGCCCTAATGGCTGTACGTTTTCAAAGGGACGAACACTAATGCCAAACTGCATCCCTGTGAGACACTGATAAGACCTCTATTGCCTTTTGTCCCCCACTGTTTCGACCCTCGCTGTCCATCCCTCGCATTCTGGAAATGAGCCGCACTCAGAATTAATTTCTGCACTCTCTTTATGGGAATAACCTTAAAGGCTGTATCACTATCAAATTCTTATAGAAAAGTCACTTCGATCCTGTCGATGGATATGGCATGGGAAATTCGTTTTGTATACCACCAAGCACGCAAGCACGCGCGTGCACACACAAACACACACACACACACACCCTCCTCTTTATCACACTTTTTCCACAACTATTATCTCTTCCTTTATTTAATTTCTTTTCATGCCCCCCTCCCTCTCTCCTTCTTTCATTCCCCTTATTTTCGCTTCATCGTTCTCTCATAGTAGCGTGAAAAAATAAAGAAACCCATATTATATCAACATTAATATACACTTCGTGATTGGAAAAAGTTTTAGAAATTATTATTTTCTTAATCTTATGAACATAAAAACATGAGAACACAAGAATGAACGAAGCTTGAGAAGGCCAATACTGGCCTATATGAGGCAGCTCTTAAACATATGAATATATATGACGACGATGGATCACAATAACATGACTGAAGAGGCGATACAGAAACCACATATTCGGAAATAAAGAAACGACGATGTTTCGTTCCGTCCAGGACCATTGTCAAGTCTTGTCATGGCAAGAGAGAACAAGAGACATACAGTATGAAGGATAAGAGCGAGATGCAATGAGGAACGAATGAAAGAGAAAGATGAACGTAAGAATAAGATCAAAGGAAAAAGGTTGGCAGTAAAAATAGAATATAAGGTAAGAATACGATAAAAGGAAGGAATGAGAGAAAGAGGTAAGAAAAGAGAAAAGGTAAGAATAAAGAGAATTAGGTAAAATAAAGGTAAGGTCAGAAGTAAGGGAAGGGCAAAAGGAGGAAGAATACAAGGGAGAATATTTGGAAGAATATCAAAAAGAGTATCAAGAAGAATATCAGGAAGAATATCAGGAAGAAAGATCTCATATTCCAATATGTTTAAATTACGCTAAAAAAAATATCCAACACTATTATTTTACCCAGTTATTTTCTTCCTTGAGACAACCACTTACTTTCATTTTCTGTTCTTTTCTTTCATTTTAGTTTCTTTGATTTATTTACGATCTTCCACTCTGTCAACTATTTTAAAATATATTATGTTCGTAATATGTCATCTAAGTATATATTAATCAGGAGATAAGTGGTATTGGAACCGTCAATAAGACAAGGTTATGTTGATGTTGCGATAATTAATGTTAACGATTCCATTAACTACAGGAAGCCGATGTCATTTTCTGAATAATTTGGTTCCAATGAACTGGTTCAATTTGGCCCAAAGGCATTATATACACTAGCGTGAGGCGTCTTCCATGTCGGTGCCAGACGTTCAGCTTAAGCTGGAAATAATAAGCTGAACTGACTGCTGACGTTCAGCTTAAGCTGGAAATAACAAGCTGAACTGTTTTCATGCGTTGTGATATCTGCGCAATGCAGCGCTGAACACACACACACATCTAACTCAACAGTTAAGCTGAACAGTTAAACTGAACTCACAAGCTCTGTCAATAGTTAAGAAGAAAGCTTATTTAACAATAAAGCTGAACACACACATTTGGCTGAACAGTGACTCTAACCACATCCCACAAGTTGAACCGTAATGCTGAGGACACATTGCAGACTGAACACTTATGCCGAGGACACACAGCAGACTGAACACTTATGCCGAGGACACACAGCTGACTGAACACTTATGCCGAGGACACACAGCTGACTGAATAGGTATAATGAGGCTAATAACTCTTGCACATAATTACTCATTGTCCTCACGCCTACATGTCCCTATTGTCTTTCGCACCTTTGTTTGCGTTTAATGAATCTGTGGATGTGAATTTGCATGTGCACAAATGAACAAAGACTCCACCTGAATAATATAACTATAACGCACAATAACAACAGCACAAGTGTAGTAATAATGTAACAATAACATATAACCAAAGGTGTAGCGACCAAGATGTTCTCTCGAAGATGATGTTCTCCTCCTTCTCTTGCTCCAGTATGACCTTTGTCTCTGGTGGCATCTCGTATTCGTCCTCCCTTCCCTCTCTATACACTCCTCTTCATCTCATTACCTGTGTAACTCTTCCCTCACTGGCACCTATCCAGCAGTGTCAGGGGCTGCTACTGGGCCCGACCCGTTTTCCCCTGACACGAAATAAGCGTTCAGGTCAGGTCAGGGTAATTTCCAGGCGAGGGGAACCAGGAGAGAGGAAAGGGGCGGGCGACGCCGTAGTTGTTTAGGCCAGTTAGCTGTTAATCTTGGCGGGAGGGGAAGTTAAGAGCTGATGGTTGGTTGTTGGTGCTGGTGGTGGTGGTGGATCTGGGGGGTTGTATAGTGGTAGTGGTGGATCTGGGGGGTTGTATAGTGGTAGTGGTGGATCTGGGGGGTTGTATAGTGGTAGTGGTGGATCTGGGGGGGTTGTATAGTGGTAGTGGTGGATCTGGGGGGTTGTATAGTGGTAGTGGTGGATCTGGGGGGTTGTATAGTGGTAGTGGTGGTGGTGGAGACGAGGGACGCCTGTTCCTTACGGTGGAGCCAATGGTTGCCTGTCGGATGTGGTGACAATGGTTGCGGTGGAACCGAAAGTTGAGTTTTATATGAGCCGAGGAAATGACCCCTGATCATACGGAACAGGCTGCGAGAGTTTCCGATTTTATAATACAAAGAAACTGGGCAACGTTTATGACAGCTTTTGTTTCTGTTGTGAGGAAATGTTCGTGTTGTGAGCAGAACATGACTTTTGTGTCTAGTCTAGACCTTGATGATGGCCTGGGAGAGTTGTAGTGCTGGTGCCTGACACCAGGAATATCTGAGATTGTTTACGTTGAGATATATAGTAGTGTTGGCGTTGTCTTGTACCATTTAAACACAGCAAATTATGTCCAATAAAAAAATAAATCGACTTGAGTTTTAATGCGTCATCTTCTCAAACGTGTCTTGGGTATTCCTGATGTGCTTGTACTCCACAGAACATCTGGCAATCATCAAATTACTGTATCATTCGTCTTAACTCATTAATTAATATCAGTATAAATATACAGATAATAAATAAGACATGCATATTTAGTTTATATATACACAATCAAATTTAAATTTGTAAG